CAATGGGAGCACCTAACACAGAAACATTGAACTTAAGCAGAACAGCACAACAGGTTAAAGTTGTAGTTAAAATTAGCAGATTATAAGTATCTTTAAAGAAGTGGCTTGATGCTCGGTCACTGTGTGTGTGTGTGTGTGCGTGCGCGTGTGTGTGTGTGTGCGTGCGCGTGTGTGTGTGCGCGTGCGTGTGTGTGTGTGTGTGTGTGTGTTTTTCAGCGCACAAACGAGCCCATCAGCACATTCATGATCCAGATCGCCGTGCTGGCCAACCACCAGAACGGGAGAGACACGCACATGAGGCAGATCAAAGTTTACACACCCGTGGAGGAGAGCTCGATCGGCAAGTTCCCACGATGCACCACGGTCGACTTTATGATGTACCGGACCATCAGGTGATCTGGACGTGACCCAGGAACCCCAACAGACTTATATCTGGAGCTGGATCATTATCAATGAGAGGAACATCAGTGAAGCTGCCAGTGTTGAATATTTAAAGATGTTCAGTCAGAGTCATAGACCCAGTCAGTGTTGGTTTACATGCTTTAACAATGAGTTTCCACACAGAGTGAATGCTTTGATATGAATTTGGTTCCTAAATTTATCCTTTTTGTCTCTCGCAGTATAAAAAAACGTTTGTGCCTACACATTGTTTCCTGTTGTGGATTGTTAATAAAAAGGTAAAAATAAATGTTTCAAAAATCCAGAATGTGACTGTGTTCGTGTAGAAAACTATAACTTTATTCTGTAGCTGTGCTCAGTCTTATGCTTCTTGGTTTAGTCACAGATGTTGTTGTTTTACTTGAAGAAAATGAGGTTTGAAAACAGTAATACGTTGATGATGCAGGAAAATGTTCTATTCTGCTGATGTTGGACCTCACGTCGGCCTTTGATATGGTTGACCACCACTTTTTTGTGGCGGTTTCTAAGTGCAGGTCATCCTTCACTTCCCTTACCTATGGTGTGCCACAAGGTTCTGTATTGGGACCCTTATTGTTTCTAATATATCTACTTCCCTTTCAGCATATTTTGAGCCCCTTTGAGTAGGGCTGTGCGATATGACCAAAATCTCATATCCCGATATAAGAATTCTATCGATAACGATATAAATCACAAAAACATTTTCTGTAAATTATGTGAATCTCGGGCAGCTCGACTTGCGGAAAGTGTTTCCAGCTGCGCGTCGCGTACCTGGAGTCCAGTGTTTTAACCGATGCATGAAACTATACATTTTTAGACATAAGTTGTAAAGGCCGCCGTTTTCTTTGTATTTATTACACGGCGTGCTGCGGGGAAAAGCCTGTTCTAACGTTTGAGTCTAAGGTTTATTTTTTAGCACTAGGTCCCCTTTCGACATTTGTGAAATCGTCTATCAGGAACCTTGGGGTAACTTTTGACTTTCCTCTTGCTTTGGATGTTCAAATCTCTGGTTCCGTCTTTCTTTTATCACTTATTACTGCTACATTAAGTCCTGTAGTGTCACACACTGAACTGGAGGTGGTTATACATGCATTTGTTTCATCATGTTTGGACTATTGTAACTCACTGTTTATATGTCTAAACAAAAACTCCTTGGAACAAAACTCTGCAGCAAGGCATAAACTTAAAATCTCAGTTTTTTATTGTCACATAAGTGGTTGCCTGATTCACATGTTGCTGCAGTTTGTTGCTCTAGCTTTACTTTTACTAGATCTTGCTGCAGTTTAGCTGCCTAACTTTCCATCTGTAGTTTCAGATGTTAAGTAGTATCAGTGTTTGATTAAGTTGTGGAAGTTTCCATAACTAGCACCAGATGGTGATGTAGCTTGGGTATTTCATTTAGTTGCACCAGTTTCAGCTGCTGGTATAATTTATTTGTATCAGTTACTCAAGTTTCAGTCATTTCAGTTTCACTAACTTGACAATGTTGGTGTTGTTACTTGCAGGCATAGTGTCAATGGTTGCTTCATTGCAGTGGTACTTTCACCCGTTAGCGTAGGTGCAAATCTTGAGATACTTGCCATGTTTAGTTTTAGCTAGAGATGGACCGATCCGATATTACGTATCGGTATCGGTCCGATACTGACCTAAATTACTGGATCGGATATCGGAGAAAAATAAAAAATGTAATCCGATCCATTAAATATCACGAAAGCACCTCACAAAACTTGCAACGCGCCGTAACTCACCTCAGAACGTTAGCACGTCGGAGCAGTATGCATCACGTGATAGAGCGGCTGTGGCATGCGGGACCTGTCGGTGGTCTGGATAGCATGTGGAGCTTCGCTAGCAACCCGGCATTACATCTCCGACAAAGTTATCCCGAGAGAAGTAAAGCAAGTGTGTAAGTCCATCTCTGAATGTTTGTAAAGCATTCCTGCGTTAAGCTTAACAAGCGACTGCCTCTCCTGCTGCTACTTCAATCATGAAACTGCTAATGCTGGGCAGACACTGTGTGATTTTTTTTCAGTCGCGCGATTCAGCTCCTGCTCAAACTGTACGATTGACTCGCAGGGGTTAGAAGTTCATAGGTCACGATGCAGGGTCTCACACTATACGACCCGATGCTCTGATACGACCTGAGTGCTCACACTGTGCATACATAAAATGGAGGTTATAATAGAAATTCTGTCGCTCGCTCTCCCTCTCTGTCTTTCACTCACACAGACACACCACCACCATCAACTTTGCTAAATTGCTAATGAAAAACATTGATCAGGCAGCTGTGATTGAGCAGCAATGTAGATCCAACTATTTTCAAGGTTGTTGTGTCGTGATAATTTTGTGAGGCCACATCGAAAAGGCTTGGATGAGCTTTCCATAGTTCTACAAGTTGTTCCTCCATCGCTTGTGTCCAGATCACACGCTGCACTGCCGTGCTGCTCCGTCTTTTTTTTCGCTGACATTTGTGTTTGTGCGTGCGCAGTGTGACAAACTGCGGTGACACCCTCGCGACCAAGCGATTGATCTGGTCGTGAGGTGTTAATCGCGTCTCGTTACCCCACGTATACTACACGACGCACGATGAAGGCCAAAATCGGGCCGATTGCCAAAACGGTCGCACGACTCAAAAATCGGCTCAAAATGGGCCAAAAATTGCACAGTGTGAGCCCAGCATTAATGATTAGCTGATCGGCTTTTCTGTCGGGAGTCCGTCTCTCTTGTTTGTTTTTGGCCCACTTTGCACCAGAAAGAGGGAACCAGCGGATAAACAACAGCAACACGTTTAAGCTTGATCAGCTGTTGTTAGAATTTATTTAATATTACTTTCTACTCGAGGATCTTTTTCTACTTAGCTGACGCTGGTAACTGTGCAGGGGCGGATCTAGCAAAGTTTAGCCAGGGGGGCCGATAGGGCATTAACAGGGAAAAGGGGCACAAAGACACACTTTTCTTTCTTATTCTCATTTAAAATGTCGAGCTTTTAATAAATAATTATCTGACACCCAAAGTTTTAATTTGATGTAAAAGGAATAGAAGTCAATTACTGTATATAGTGACTATTAAGTCTAATATATATACCCTAGTAAGATATAGTACTTTTTCCTTTGGGAAAGTACCATCTGTGCAGTCTGCAATTTTGTTGAAGAAAGATGTTGAATCTATTTAATATTTCTTGAAAAATAATTGATTTCTGTGCATTTTTTTTCACACTGCATCAAATTAAGGTTGATTACGTCGATTAAGCATCATGAGGTGGAGCGTGAGGGGTGGTTCCCTATTTTTTATTTATTTATTTTGTTGTTGCTGGGAGTTGGAACCCTATTAGTTAGGTTGCTTAATATTTATGCTAAGTACTCTTTAAAATACCAGAATAGGGAGGATGGTGTAGGTTTAAGTTTATTAGATTGATCAATATTGCTGAACTATGAAATATTTTTTTTGCATACAGGTATAACAGAATAGCTTTAGTGTAGTTGTTGTTTTAAACTTGAGTATGAACTTATACAAAATGCAGCAAGATATTTTAAAAAACAGTTTTGTTGATTAAAAAGCACTATATCGGATTCATATCGGTATCGGCAGATATCCAAATTTATGATATCGGTATCGGTATCGGACATAAAAAAGTGGTATCGTGCCATCTCTAGTTTTAGCCATTACTGTAGATACAGTTTTATAATTCCTGTAGTTTCAGAGGCTGACTCATTTGCAGGAGTTGCAGTTATACATATTGCTGTGGTCTCATTGGGTGCTGAATATATATTTATTTGCAAGTGTTGTTTGCATTTGCTGATTATGTATTTACAGATTTTTAACTGACTAGGAGGTAACGGATAAAAATGCAAACTACAAACAGACCTATGATGTTTAAAGTTACTAAACAGTGTCTACTTCAAACTGTTCTTCCTGGTAAAAGCTCAAGTCTGTTAACTCCTCCCTCTTCTACCTGAAGCACAGCAGCTCCAGTCTGTCCACATATTTTCTAGAATAGTTTCACCACTATGTAACAGAAACTCACAGAGACACTCTTACTGAGAGGAGAAATGGCACAGAAAAGAGATCAGCTAGATCGAGAAATGTTCTCTTGTTGGATCTGTTTGGATCTACTGAAGGATACTGTGACTATTCCCTGTGGACACAGCTACTGTATGAACTGTATCGAAACCCACTTTGATGAAGAGGACAGGAAGGGAATCCACAGCTGCCCTCAGTGCAGGAAGACTTTCACACTGAGGCCTGACCTGGAGAAAAACACCATGTTAGCAGAGTTGATGGAGTTATTGAAGAAGACTGGACTCCAAGCTGCTCCAGCTGATCACTGCTATGCTGGACCTGAAGATGTGGCCTGTGATGTCTGCACTGGGAGGAAACTGAAAGCTATCAAATCCTGTTTATCTTGTCCAGCCTCTTACTGTGAGAGACACCTTCAACCTCACTATGATGCAGCTCCATTAAAGAAACACAAGCTGGTGGCCCCCTCCAAGAAGCTCCAGGAGAACATCTGCTCTCATCATAAAGGCCATGAAACAGTCCCAGCTGCAGCAGAAAGGACTGAGAAGCAGAAGGAGCTCGAGGTGAGACGACTAAACATCCAGCAGAGAATCCAGGAGCGAGAGAAAGATGTGAAGCTGCTTCAACAGGAGGTGGAGGCCATCAATGGCTCTGCTGATAAAGCAGTGGAGGACAGTGAGAAGATGTTCACTGAGCTGATCCGTCTCCTCCAGAAAAGAAGCTCTGATGTGAAGCAGCAGGTCAGATCCCAGCAGGAAACTGAAGTGAGTCGAGTCAAAGAGCTTCAGGAGAAGCTGGAGCAGGAGATCGCTGAGCTGAAGAGGAAAGACGGCGAGCTGGAGCAGCTCTCACACACAGAGGATCACAACCAGTTTCTACACAACTACCCCTCACTGTCAGCACTCAGTGAGTCTACACACTCATCCAGCATCAATATCCGTCCTCTGAGGTACTTTGAGGATGTGACAGCAGCTGTGTCAGAGACCAGAGATAAACTACAGGACATTCTGAGAGAGGAATGGACAAACATCTCACTGACAGTCACTGAAGAGGATGTTTTACTGTCACCAGCAGAGCCAAAGACCAGAGCTGGATTCTTAAAATATTCACAAGAAATCACACTGGATCCAAACACAGCACACAGAGAATTGTTATTATCTGAAGAGAACAGAAAAGTGACATTAATGAGACAAAAACAGACTTACTCTAATCACCCAGACAGATTCACTGATTATTATCAAGTCCTGAGTAAAGAGAGTCTGACTGGACGTTGTTACTGGGAGGTGAAGTGGAGAGGGGGTGGAGTTGATGCAGCAGTCGCATACAAGACTATCAGCAGAGCAGGAGAGTCAGATGAATGTGGATTTGGATTTAATGACAACTCTTGGTTATTGAGCTGTGACAGAAAAAGTTGCAAATTTTTGCACAAGAATGTCCAAACTGTCCTCTCAGGTCCTCCGTCCACCAGAGTAGGAGTGTACCTGGATCACAGAGCAGGTATTCTGTCTTTCTACAGCGTCTCTGAAACCATGACTCTCCTCCACAGAGTCCAGACCACATTCACTCAGCCGCTCTATGCTGGACTTGGTCTTTTTATTGATCATGGAGACACTGCAGAGATATTAAACTGAAATAGACAGAAGTCACTGAGGGACGGCTAGTTCCTGTTTCTTTGGTCTCCAGCATTGCTGTCAACAGTGATGGAGATTTTGAAAAGAGGTCAGAGTGGCACCAGAAAGTTCTTTGAAAGTAAATTCTGCTAGACCGAAAACAATTTCTAATTAGCTTGTATGAAGAAGATCATAAAATCTAATAAAAATGAACAAACATTAATGAACTTCAGTTTTTATATCAAGAAGACACTAGTATTATAAATGTAATTGTTTTATTATGAATAGTATTGTCTAAGCTCACAGACCAAATGTTACACTCTGAATAAAACTTTTAATTTCAGTCCTTCCAGCACACAAAATCACACGTATTCTACTAGAGAAGATGTGGATTTTATAGACACTCAATCTGAAGACTTGCTTAATGTAAACCCTCCTGTGTGAAGTTTGTTACATGTTTGAACTGATACATGCTGATTTTCTTTCTTTTTTGTTGTTGTTGAGGAGTTATTTGGTTATTTGAAGAAATATTGAAATGAAAATCTTGATTTGAATCATCTGCTACTGTGGCATATGTAACTCATTACTGGTATTTTTTTTTATATCAGGTGTGGCTATAACTTAGACTTTCTGCTGGTCTGTTTTCTGTGTTCTTATCCCTAACCTTAACCACAACCTTAATCATGTTAGATAGTGTTTTCCAAAGCGATTCATGATGATAAAAAATTTTTAAAAAAGTAAAATAAATGTACATGTCCCAACGGTTCTCATGTTCTCTCCTGTTTCTGAACGCATAACATAGAGACGTGTTGAGTGGCCGAAAGCGTAACATACCAACAAGTTGTCTCATAGCGTAGTATGTTACGTTTTGGAATGAGAACATGTTGGAAAAACCAGCAGAAGGCACAATGTAGTGTTACTGACATGTGATTGGATGAGCAGCCTACAGCCCGCCTCCAAAGTCTCCCAGTGATTATGCCGATGAGGAAACTGATGTGTTTGTCAGAGAGTACAAAGGTGTTCAACCATGAACTTAGCACATACACATACAAAGACACATACACTCTAAACCCTGATCTGACTCATGCAGATGATTCAGTATCTTTCTGTGTCCTTCCTGTTTAGCTGCTTTTGGACGAATCCTGATTCTCTTTCTCTGCTTTGGTTAAGCAAACAGGTTTGATTCGTTGGTCATGAGTGACGTGTTTAGCAAAAAACAAACAAACAAAAATATGTTGTTGGAGACTGTCTCTCATTTACAAATTTCCTCTGGCTGCAGAAGTTGAAGAAGAGACTGTCACTGCATGCTTGTATGATTTTTTTTTTTTTTTTTTTTGCCACACGACTGTTAAATCCAGGACTTTTAAGGTTACAGTAGTTGCTGTATCTTATCATAGATAGATTTGTTTGGTTGTAGTTAAAGTGTCAGTAGTAGCAGATGTTACTATATTTGAAATTATTAACTTAAATTCAAATATAGTAACAAAGTATATGTGGGGCCTCCCTGCTGCTGCGGAGTCGGGGTGGTCTGCTCCTGCTCCGCGGCTGCTGAGCGACCCCTCATCTGGGGCTCTCTTCAGCTTTTTTCAGGGAGAGTGGCACGGTTTCCCCTCCGTTGGTCTTCTAGCAGATCATTACATGAAGGAAGCTTTTAAATACAAGCGCGCTCATGCTCACAGGTGCACACACGGGTGCTCACACATACAAACTACACCCTTTTTGGCTCCTACCTCAAAGCACACCGTGGGCTGTCAATCCTACGTACTGCACAATATTTAGTATTTACTGTTATATTCACATTGTTTTTTGCCCTTTATCACCGTTCCTCTTCCCTGCTGTTTTTCTTTCCCTCTTTCTTTCTCCCTTTTCTTTTCCCCAGTCAAGTCCATTGGGCATCTTTCTTTGCCTTTAGACAATAATTCTGATGGCAAAAGAACCAAACGGGACAGGCAAAAAAAGAAAAAAAGAAAGAAATTATTAACTTAGTTGCAGAAGTTGCTGTGGTTTTAGGCTTGTTTAGTTACAATCACTCTTTGCTGCTGGTGTGGCTGTAGTTTTAGCTTTAAATTTAGTTGCAGTAGTTTTTGTGTCATATAGCAGATGTTGTTATACTTGGAGTAGCAGAGTTGCAGACATTGCCATGACTAATAGCAGATATTGCTGTAGTCTCCTTCATTCATTTGTTACAGAATTATCCATGCTTTCCTGTAGATGTTATATTTTCAGCCACTGATTTAATTCCTGAAGTCACCATGCTTTCCTGCAGATGATACTGTAGTTTCAGTCATTCATTACAGGAGATGTTGTAGTCTGAGGTTTGTTTAGTTTCAAAAGTAGACAATACTTATAGCAGCTATTGTTTCATTGATCCGTTAAGTTACAGAATTCTTCATCGTTTTCTGCTGATGTTCTTATAGTTTTAGTCACTGGTTGAGTTGCAGAAGTAGCCATTCTGCAGATGTTGTGGTATCTGTCTGTCCGTCCTTCCTTCCTTCCTTCCTCTTCCGCTTATCCAGGCCTAAACAGAGAAACCCAGACCTCCTTCTCCCTAACCACCTGCTCCAACTTGTCCAGGGGGACACCAAAGCGTTCCCAGGCCAGCTGAGAGATATAATCTCTCCAGTGTGTCCTGGGTCTGCCCCAGGGCCTCCTCCCGGTAGGTCATGCTGGGAACACCTCACCCAGGAGACACCCAGGAGGCATCCTTGTCAGATACCCAAACCACCTCAACTGGCTCCTTTTGATGCGGAGGAGCAGCGGCTCTACTCTGAGCCCCTCCCGGATGGCCTCATGCAGGATGGCTTCACCCTCTCTCTAAGGGAGTGGCCAGCCACCCTTCAGAGGAAGCCCCACATGAACTTGTTTATTCAGTCACTACCCACAGCTTGTGACCATAGGTGAGGGTATGGGTGTAGATTGACCAGTTAATGGAGAGCTTCACTTTTACACTCAGCTCTCTCTTGACCGCAACAGACCAGTATGCGTCCGCATCACTTCAGCCACAGCACCAATCTGTCTGTCGATCACCCACTCCCATCTTCCATCACTCGTGAACAAGACCCCAAGATACTTAAACTCCTCCACTTGGGGCATGAACTTGTCCTTCATCCGGAGGGGACACTACAGCCAAATCTGGCTGACAACCACGGCCTCAGATTTGGAGGTGCTGATTCTCATTCCCCCCATTTTGCACTCGGGTACAACTGTTCCAGTGCAAGCTGGAGGCCATCACCTGTTGAACCCATCAAAACCATATCTTCTGCAAAAAGCAGAGATGAGATTCTGAGACCACCCAAAGTCAAAGCCTTCAGCCACTTGGCTACTGTGGAGTTCTTTTTTGCTAAGAAAAGTTCAAGAGACAATCTAGACAATCTAGCAGTTCACATTATTTTATTATCAGGCAGTTAAAGATTCGGCTTGCAAAGCTGTGGACTTCTCTATGTCAGGCAGTCTGTGCATGGAAAACTCCCAGACAGTTCATAATTCAAAGTAAATATTGGACACATGGAAACAGGTAATATTTGTGATTGGCTATTAATGGGGAGATGCTATGGTTTAGACTTAGCACTCCCTGATTTGTTCTCCCATGGGTCCTTCCGCATGGTAATGGTCAACGACAAAACACCACTGGGGTTCAGATCCGGGAGGCTCCAAGAAGGGACTCCAAGAATGCGTCGTTCGGCACATAATGGCAAACGGCAGTCAGGACTAATTCCCCAACCCAAAGATGGAGGGAAAAAACCCTCTTGTCCACTGGGAAAAACCCCAACCTACAGGCAGCAAGCCAAGGGGATACTAGGATACCCACCCCAGCCCGTCGTCTCTCACCAAGGGCAACTCCAGACAGAGACAGAGTCCAGCCCCTCTCCAGGAGTGCTGGTTCCAGCAGAGATGAGATTCTGAGACCAGAACAGTTCCCTTGATCATGTACTCATAAGAGTCTTTTGAATCGCTCTTTGTTTGATCACTCACCCGGGACCAATTTGCAATGGGAGACCATACCAGGGGGCAAATGCCCCTGGACAGCATAGCCTCTGACATCTCTAGGACACAAAAACCCCTCAAGCCACTATAAGGTAGCGATTCACAGAGGGGTATTGTGGTTTCAGGTCTTTATTTAGTCGTCATATCTTCTACCAGATGCTGGTTTGGTTTCATCTGCCAATTTGGTTGCAAAACTTGCCGTGCACAGTAGCAGTTGTTAGTGTATTTTTAGGCTTTCATTTTGTTGCAGTAGTTGCCACATCTTCTAGCAGACATTGTTGTAGTTGCAGTAGTTGAAGGGTTAGTAGTAGTGGTGGATGTTGCTATTTTACAGTCATTTATTTAGTTGTAGAAGTTCCCATGCCATGTAGTGGATGTTGCTAAAGTTTCTTTCATTCATTTGTTGCAGAATTTTAATACTTTTCTGCAGTTGCATACAATAATATCAGCAGAGCAGGGAGCTTAAATGAATGTGTATTTGGATACAATGACATATCTTGGTCATTCCATTGTTACACAAACAGTTATATTTTTTGGCACAACAAAGTCCGAACTCTCCTCTCAGGTCCTCGGTCCTCCAGAGTAGGAGTGTACCTGGATCACAGAGCAGGTATTCTGTCTTTCTACAGCGTCTCTGAAACCATGACTCTCCTCCACAGAGTCCAGACCACATTCACTCAGCCGCTCTATGCTGGAGTTCGGCTTTTAGATCACGGAGACACTGCAGCGTTCATTAAAGTGAAATAGTCAGAAGTCAGTATTGGACAATTCGTTAAAATATGTGTCTGACTTTCCAGTTACTTGGTAAGATTTATTTATCTCATGTGAAGAACAAAATTCACAAAGTGCTTTACAATACAGAAATAGGTATAGAACAAATTAAAATAGCATAAACAGATGAAACTATATAAAACCAAACCAGCACAGGCAATTTTTAAGTTTCTTTTTAACAATATCAACAGTGTCCACAGATTTTAGCTCCAGTAGAAGCGAGGTGCACGGTACCACTCATTGGCTGTGTCCCAATTCAGGGTCTGCACGCTTGAAGTACGCGCACTACACGTACTACGTACGGTGCGTACTATAAGTATGAGAAGTGCGGAAGTGAGAGGCCTGTGAAATTGGACGGTCGTCGCGTTGTTCAGGTTGCCTATCAACCATGATACTAACCGCGAGAAACGTTACATATAGCATTGTGTGACATAAATGAAGGAGAAAAATGTTTTGTTGGTCATTCATTTTTGTCATGACATCACTTTGATTAGTTGAGTATCTGAGGCTGAGACCACGGGACTGTAGAACATGATTGTTGGGCTTCATTTCTGTGCTGAGCAGTCATTGCAAGATTAGTTAGTAAATAGCAATTAGTTAATGTTGTTCATGAGACTAAAATCATCTCACTGTGGTAATGTAAATATAATATGGCCAATATTATAGTATTGTCAGATTATTATGATGTAATATATATATATATATATATATATATATATATATATATATATATATATATATATATATATATATATGTAGAGGCTTTAAAACCAAGCTGAAGCTGAAAGTACAAACATCACTAATGTCACATAACTTTGCCGACATGTGGCCAACAGTAATGTTTTAATGTTTTTCGTTATTAAACATTCGCACATAAATAAGTGACGTCATATTCAGTAATTACTTTTGACAGTTCACTCTTCGGCCGCTCCCTTCTGCCTTATTTTGCGGCAAAATTATCCACACCCACCACCGCGCTATGGATTGTGGGATATATG